TGCAAAGGCGCGGTGGTATCTGTCTCCTGAACGGACGATCGATTTGTGGCATAGCTGAAGCTCGCTGCTCGATGAATGAGCTAGAGGTGACATCGCGTGTATTGACCATTGTCTGATATAGGTCTTAGGATGCTATGACTTTTCGAAAAATAGGCCCACTGGCAGTATCTATACTTACTGACCATATCCTTACATCGATAATAGTGAGCATCTTTCTTTTATGATTTTGATGATGAGACATTTCGTCTATATCAACGAACGCCGTTCTTCATAGAAGGATGTAGCGCAATGTGTCTTGTATATAATCCTAGTTATACTGATCCCTTCTTGGTTGATTTGATTTTGACCATACGCTGATACAATTGTCCTTCAGCAGGTCCCGATAACAGGAGGAAATGGAGCGATGGTGCAGCTTTGTAAATATATAATGTATACCGTACGGGTATCCTATAATATTTGTATTTGACACCATTCTAATTGCTTTGACTACGTCTTGGTTGATCACTGTGAGCTCTTTCCAAGCCTCTCGGAAAACTGTACCACTTCCTCCGCCACCTCCTGCACCAAGGATCGTTTCACAAGCGTTTTCCTCCACTCCCTGACCCTCTTCGTCCAAAATACACCCTCAACGTTGTCATCATACCCTGCGTACCAACACCCAGCCAGCCCACCATACACTGCCCCCACAGTGTCTGCATCGTCACCCAAGTTGACGGCCATGATTGCACCGTGCTCGAATGTCGTGGTGGCGAAGAAGCAGTATAGCGCTGCTATGAGGGTATGGAGTACGTATCCGGATGACAGGATTTGCTTCGCAGACGGTAGGCTATAAGGGAAAATATCCTTATCTATCGGTGTCCCAAGCTGCGTTTCCGTGATCACGCTGAGGATGGGATGATGCGTCCGATAGTACTCCTCCAGATCCTCATCCTCTCTGCATGGCGGCGTCCCAGCAGGCACAACAAGCGCATTACGCAGCTTTTCGTTGGTGTACGGGAACTTCGCAATGTAATCCAACAGGTTGAGCTTGCTATATTCACTTTCAATATTCAAGCTGCTCTGATACACCACCAGGGCGATCAGCTGTGTCCACATCTCACAGGCCTCGAGGCACATTGCCGTTGGATGCGTGGTGGCACTGCTCCGTCGTGCATATTTGGCTGCCTCTTGAGTATCACGCCAGTATGTGAGACCGACAGGCAGCACACGCATCAAGCTCCCATTGCCTGCATTGCTATCGGCCCCGAGCTCTTTTTCAATCCGGGCAAGGATACCATCGGCACCGTGTGCTTGGTAAATCCTTAGTGCACGTCCGATCGTGTTTCCGATATCGAAACAATACCCAATCGCAGACAGACGACCGTATCTGTGCCAGTTGGTGTATGCATCCAGCTGGTGTCTCTCATCGAACCCCCCTGGTACGACATTCTGCGACTTGAATCCGCCACTGTCCTCTACAGGAACGTAAGTCGCGATCGAACGTGCTAGACAGAGTGTCATGGATGTGTCGTCTGTCCAAACCCCAGCGGGAAGGTCGAAATTCTCGTTCGGCATCATGGTAGTCACCAAATCGAACGTGAATCGCTTGTGGAACTCTGGCGGACCTCCGAGAGCATCTACCAGTGCTGTGGCAAGGATCGACAGGCGTATCTTTGTCGCCGCATCTGCAGGCGTTGGGTGTTGGTCTCGAAGTGGGGAAAGTGGAGGGGGTACTCTGTTCGATGGATTGACCCCGGCGGAACCTTCTGAAAGAGAGGGCTTCTTTCCGTGTTTTGGCGTAAGCTTGCTCCAGAAGGACATCGCGCACGCTTCCGACCGTTAGGAGGGAAGAAATCTAGCGTTCGTTGGACGAAGTTCCTGCGTTCTTAAAAAAACAAGCATCGCATGGGTATGCACTGCCTTGATGTCCCCTGGACCTGATTCATGACATTTCATTAAATGTTGCAGCGAATAGGAACCAGGAAGGTCCTGGATGGCAGTACAGGATATGGCCGCTGGCTTGCAGACGCAAAGGCCCCAAATTATTAAATTTTCTTTGTAAGTCGTATGAAAGCGAGTGGAACGGCAATCCGCCCCGTCGTGGCCCACCGGCCTGCCTCTTCCAAGTCCTCAACGTAACTACGGCTGGTGCCTGCCACCCCCCTCTTTTTCTCGCTCATTCAGCTTCATGTGTAATATTATTTATTAATCTCAGGAACTTCGATGGTGCTTAACGCTGTAATATAGCAGGAGTAATTAGGCGAATTTTTTACACTAGAAATAAATCTAGGGTCAATTTCCCTTCCATATACCACCCATGTTATTAGATATTTGAGTAAGTTTACGTGCTTGATTCGAAGTCCAGTTTAATAAGTGACATTTATCCCAGAGCTATATACGTGATGAGAAATCACAGATACAGTAGATTACTAGTATCTCCATAATCTTAGGAAAAATAAACTCCGCGGCTTCTTTCGAGGTATATGACAGAAATTATCTCATTCTGCGCTCATATAATTCTCTCCACACTGCATAGTGTGTTGATCCGGTCTTCCTGTTTCTTTCACCATTGAATTTTTAAATTTATAACCGTGCGGTCCGCGGGATTTTGCTTCCGTTTATAGCTAGCACCACTCGCACGGTGGCGGTGCTCACGGATAACATTTACTCCTTTCTTAACTACCTGTACTTTGGTCTCTTCCTCCACGAGGAGCGTTGTTGCTGGCAAAAAAGTCCATCTTTCTTCGGATTAAACCATTCGAATTTTCAAGAAGTGGACAATAGCAACTTGAATGAAGGCTAGAGCCTAAGTAAGTACAATTAATATTGGGAGATCCATCGTTTTCCTCTTATCGAAATGCATTCTTCAGTCAGCCTCCAGTACCGGTAGCTCATGCCAGGTCTCAACAATCGTGCTCTTGGAGCTACATTCAAGACCATGTCGATCTCATCAACCACGTCGTCTTCCTCTTGCTCACTCGGATCGGTACGGCAGGTACAGGATCTGTGGTATGAAGACGGAAACATCATCTTCAAAGCCGGCGATAGCCTCTTCAAAGTATCCAAGGGTGTTGTGGCTGCCAGATCACCCGTATTCCATGACATGCTTGCCTTCCCACAACCAGATGATCAGGAAATGTACGACGGATGCCCGCTGGTGATGCTGTACGATGCCGACGAGGACGTGCGTTATTTTCTCAAAGCGATCTATGATTCGGGGTATGTGGCCGTTGAAGTCCACCATAAAAGTCTTGCTGATCACCTTCTAGCTTCTTCGAGCCCCCACCGTCAACGACCGAGTTCGACATCATCAGCGGCATCCTCCGCCTCAGCACGAAATATGAAGTCGACTATCTCCGACGGCGCGCAATCCGGCACCTCGACGTACTCTACCCACTCACGCTTACCGCCTTCGATCGACGGCAAGAAACGCGCACGACCCCGTGGAAAGACAACACCGCGTTCGAAGCAGCCCGGCTTGCACGAGAAGCAGACGTCCCGTGGATCCTCCCCGCCGTGTTGTACTGTGTCTGCACCTGCCCCGTTGACGATATGGTGGACGGCTACCTATGGAACGATGCGCGGCGGCAACTGAACCCCATCGACCAGGCCGCGTGTGTGAAGGCTCTCGTACCGCTTACACAGGCGGATCGGAAGGACATGCTCAGTTTCTTGACGCTCGGGGCCGTGTCGGGGTGTATTACCCCGACAGACTGTAATGAGGCGCGGCTTGATGCATTGAGGTCCCTTGCGGATGCACAGGATATTCTGAATCCGCTGGATTCGTTTTATCACATGTGGGAGCTCTTCGAAGACAATGTCTGCGAGCAATGTGTGACAAAGAGCAAGGCTATGAATGGGTCTGCGAGAGAGGCGTTCTGGGAATCACTTCCAGGGTTGTTCAAACTCCCTGATTGGAGGACGTTGAAGACACTACAGGAGGACGCGCTCCGGGTAGCTTGATCTTGTTTTGGTATGATCTTCTCTATCTATTTCTATGGGTTTTATTTCGATACTTGGGGGCAATCTGCCGAGTCAGGGGAAGAGGAACTTACGGGCAGGACGTTCCGCTGTCGCTATGCTTTATCCCTCCATATGACACGTCGTCTCCCTATCATTTATGATTGTGGACCTCTCAACGAGTATTTTGGAGTGTGATGCTGCAACACGTTCCATCACCGCTCGGACTAACAGCGACAAGGATGGGCGGTTGTATACTTGATATATGGGTATCTCTTTCTGCATATATGTACATTAGACTGTACGATGCAATACTATGTTTCACGCTTTCATATCTCTCGCAGACCTCAATTCTCTCCGCTAGTCTTCAACATCTTAATCCTTCCTTTCTTCTCCATCTTCCATTCTCTCTTCCCCTTCATGCGCTCATTCTCATGAATCGTATCGCGTGAAACCTCCGCTTCCTCATCCTTAGAGAAGCAGTAGCTGATTATCTCCCCCTTCTCCAACGTCTCCACAGCTTGTTTCCAATCCTTCATATTCTTTCTCCGCGGGGCTTTGAAAGTCGTCCCCACCGGCTGTCCCATCTCCTCACATCCCGGGCACTTGCACGGGATCACTAACACCCACCGCATATCAGGATTATTACCCTACAATACGCAATCTCCTCCGCGAAGGGTCGATTACCAGTATCCATGTCGTTCAACATACAGACATAAGTGCTGGACACGCCCATCCGCCGCTGGTTTCCAAGCATGGAGTGATTCTCACATACATCGAGAATCCCCTCGCGCGAAGAGCGAACTTTTTACTGACATCATTCTCCTTCGTAATTGGCATATTCGTTACCTTGAACCGCGTCCCTATCTGATCAATATTGTTAAGGTAGGCTGCGAGAGATACTGCCAAATCTGTATGCGTTGATGATAGATCATTTTAAATTATAAAACTGTCGACGAGGCTGATACTCAGCTTTTTAAGTGGAAATAACTAAATAAAATAAAGGAACTTCTCGAACGGGAGCCGGAAATACGTTGTGTTTCATGGAAGAGAAAAATGAATGCCGCTTACCCGGATTGAACGAGTGACCTTCGCATGAACTTCTCTTCGAAGTACAAGTGCGACGCTTCTACCACTGAGCCAAAGCGGCGATGTTCATTCTCATATTTATTACAATATCATACTAATATCATAGTACAAGACTATGTCCAGATCCGAATCACCTCAACTCTCCTAGACCAGTGACTGATCTCTCTATGAAGCAAGCCTCGATACAGGGACCAGTTCAACGGATTTTAAATCTGTGAGAGGGTGCACTATGATCGGTTTTTGATAGAATGGCGTTATTTCCATCCAAATTGAGTAACTCTTGAAAATAGCCCCAATTTGAAATAAGTGGGAAAACCGTCGCGTCGCGTCCGTCGTCCGCTCTTTGCTTAACATTCTACGTTGGTCACCACTCTGCTCCTATCGAGGATGTTCTCATAGAGGGGATGGTCATGAGTCTACAACTCTCCTTGCACCCGGAAGCTCTTCAATTAATCGTTGAATATTTCTCAAGTAGCACCTGTGTGCTGGATATCACTCAACTGAGAATGCTCTATTTTTGTACAGACGAGAATATCAGTGAATAGTATTTTCATGTCCGGAAACTGATTGCAATAGTACGTGTATCCACTCAAAATACTATGGCAGGTGAGCATGTAGCAACCTTTTGTTATTTATACTAGATGATACTAATGATGCCACCCCCTCTTCCAGTGGGTCAACCCGATGACATACACGACTTCATTGATTTAGGAGTACATATTCCATCGACTATGGAACCTGCGTTTACGGACTCTTTCCATGTCCAACGGAAGCAACGAGAACTATGGAAAATCTCTCTCATGGCTCCTTCACGTCTTTTGAAAATTTTAACATCAGGATACCTGGAAAAAAGTTATACTTAACTGAACATGATATCTACCAGCTATCACATTGAAAAATGATCTGGACAACTTACTGTCGCAGGTTGGACTTACTAACTGGTGTTTAGTGGACATGAATGTTTTCTGTTTTCATCCTCTTCTGCTTCTCGAGGTCTTGCTATTGGTTCTGGTATTAAATGTGGCCTTCTAACGCTACATTTGAAGTGTACTTTGAGTGTTACATCAGATCAAGGTCAGTTTGCTCATCTTAAATTTTGTTAGGGCTCGCTCTGAACTATCCATTGACATTTAATCGATCCATAGTAAAATCGGGCCCTTTATCACCCCATAGTCACTGCAATTTAACCGTATTCATGGCTGCAGCCTCTCCTATCTGTCTGAACAAATGAAGAGAATTTATCCCTTGACTTGCTTGTTACATGGTCGATAGATACTGAATATCAAGTGGAATAGCAATCGTTATAAGGAGATCTTGGACGCCAATCATATGACTCAGCCCAAGTGATAACGATGATGATATAAATATGTTTCACTTCACGGTTCTAGGAATACAGCACGCTGCCCCCTTCCGCGATCTGCCTATCCCCAAATTCTCAAATGCAGAAACTATTAAATAAGTTCTGGACAATGCAGCCAAGGCCAGTGACTGATCTTCCTTCGATCGAACTCTCTTCTGTTATTTTTGCCACCATCGCTTTCTCCATTCGCGTCTACGTTCAAAAAAACGGCCCTATACCATTTTCCCGACAAATCCTTCGCATTAACAGCGCCATTTACTCTATAGTTTCTTTGTTCTTTGTTCTACAGATTGGAGGATTAATCTTACGATTACTCGGAACTTCGTCCGCGCTAGACATCCAAGAGACAGCGCACAAAATCCTCCTCCAACCCTCTACAGATCCCAAAGACGAAGCACTCCGATATCTCTATCATCTCTCGAAATTCTGGGAATACGTTGATATTTTCAACGTGCTCGCTACAGGTGGCTCGATAGGCATTCAATTCTCCTTCCATCACCTCACGGTACGTTGAAAGCTATTTTAGTCATCGTCTTTAACGCGGTTCTATTCATCAGACTCCGTACTTGACATACGCCCGCGCTCTGACAAGCCCAGCCGGATGGCAGATTTTCGCACTATTCAATGCGTTGCACCATATGCTCATGTACGCGGCAATCGCCGGAGTAGATGATTTCGTCGGAGTAGACATTTTCCCGTACATCCTTCCCTACACGCTATATTTCCAGCTCGTCGTTGGTATCGCGGTGGAAGCATGGATCGTGAAGGTACGAACTATCGGAAAGGAGGCTACATGGGAAACATGGTATCCGATTTGGCCCAATATCCTTTGCGCAGTGCTACTGGCTATTTATGCCGGATTATTCGTGAGGGACGCCATGCTAGAAAAGAAGCAGAAGAGCAAGGAGGAGTAGAGTCCTCAAATGTGTGCAGCATTTCTCAAAGTCCCATGAAGTATAGTAGACACATAAATCAGCGTGTATAACCCATGCCATATATCTCCTTGTGCCGTAATTCATAGCCCCATGAAGAATCGTAACGTAGCTTAACGTCCAATTTTGCATGCGTAGCAGTGTCCAAAGGCCAATAATGCAAGTCATGTCCAAAACATCATCGTATCAAACGACCATAAGCAATAAGTACTATCGGTGCTCACGAGACCGAATAAAGTTAATTTTTTGATTAACTTATTCACTTTTAGCTGTATTTATTAAAGGCAGCTAACTTGAATAATTTTCTCACGCTTGCATCAAATTAACTTTTCACTTGGCCGCTTGTCTGCAGACATTAACTTGTGCAATACATTGTAGATTGTTACTCCGTTGTTATTGAAAAATTCATTTCTACCTTTGAATGAGAGTATTCTATTGATAATATAAGGCCCTTGGGCATCATTTAAGGCCAGTTATGAGTGGCTTTGCAAATGCATATCCACCATCAATCCTTACACCAGTGCATTAAATCCTAAATAAATTTCATACATTAAATGCAGTTAGCTCAAGCTAAATTTAATTGTCAACTTCTGTGCTGTATCCTTTCTCTATTTCCTTTATTCTTGCATATTACACATGATTTCTCAGCCATCCTTGAGGATATATTCCTGAAAAGGTGCGATATATATGCATAATTTCTTTGGTAGTGATTATAATATCCTCCTAGGATTTATTATAAATGCTTACATGTATATTTACTTCATGTGAAACAATAACTCTGCCTACTGGTATTATAAGGGCACCAGAACAGGACATCTACTGATGGGTTGGCCAAAGTATGGTTTAATGAGGAGTTTTAAGAGCCAACATATCTTAATAGAGAGCATATATAACATTATATTGTTTAATCATCCCAAAAATTGATCTTTATGTGGTCTTTAGATGCTTTTCAACCAAAGTTAAGGAAAAGTTAATAGTTAATACAAACAAGACCAAATTAACTTTTGTGTAATAATTTTGCAATTTATGACCTCAATTCGTAGTATATGTAATTAATGCTAACAGCATGTTTAAAAGTTTGATTATACCTTTCAGAATATGCATTGATCTGGCTGTGAAGATAAATATTCAATATGTTATGGGTCTTGTCACTAGCAAGGGGCAATGAGCCACTCCATTGCCATATATGGCTCTTCAACGTCTGCTTTTGGCCTGTGGTCATCACAGTCATCATGCTTGATGATAGGGCATATATTCAGTGCGTGTTAGGTAGGAATGAGTGTTGTACTTTGCATATTTGTTGTCTCTCTGCCAAGTTAAAACTCACTTGACTTAGCTTGACTTTCACTTTCACTTGTGAATTTAACTTTTCCTGCCAAAAGTGAAATAAAGTTAATTTTATAAGGGAAAACTGAATTCGAAAACTGAATTTGTTACTCATCGGTGCTCACCATACTCGTAAGTAGGTGTCAGAGGTGTCATAGGCTGGGGCTGCGCTATTAGCATTGTCTTACTAGCAGGTCGTATAGAAACGGGGGATTAGGGCTGCCAACCGTACCGTATCGTATACGGTTACGGGTGCCAGCTGTACCGTAAACCATACCGTATTGATGTAAACTTGAGCCCAGACGGTACAGTATACAGTACGGTACTGGTAAATTACGGCTTTAGTTAGCTATGGGTTACTATTTTTAGCCTTTCTTCTGTATAGTGTTATTGAAGAGATCTATGTAAAGGTTGAGATAAAAAACCAAGGAGAAAGCATTATCTTCAAATAATGTGTCATTACTACATTATACTATTGTTGAGACAAGTAGATATCTCACCAACCAGAGTCCTTAAGAAGCAGTACATGATAGGCTGAAAGTAGCAAGAACGATGTGCCAATTGACTGAATGCACATTGTGGTTTTCTGTTATTAATATTTACACTGCATGTACTACTAACCTGAGTAAATAACTCACCTCCAATCTGCACCAGATGTTGCCAGTATGATATATAAACACTTGTAATTACACTAAGCTGCTTATATATGCCCACTTGTAACGACAACACATTTTTAATATATGAAACACTTCTAATTACAAGTATGTAGCACGGCCAATGGAAGCATCCAGGTGGTAACCGCCGCATGGCCGATCGTGCCTACTGCCTGAATTAGACAATTTTCCCGCGCATAAAGTTTTAAATTGAGCGAACGGCGTCACAGGCAGTATATGGGCCCGGTATCCGAGATCGACCACGCAGATTGAAGACTTAAATAGGTAGCAACTTTTGATTGGAATTAACTTTCTTAATGTGTGAGATCTTATCTTATCGTAAGTGCAAATAGGTAAATTCCAACTTACCTCCATTCACCGAGCGCTACAGTGCCAGACTCAGCATTAAACGTAGGGAGTTAAATAAGTTTTAAACAGCAGACATAATACTTACTTTTTAAAAGCTCACGCACAGATAATGAATATTTCTTTGTCATGGTGCTCAACAGCTCGCAAAGACACCTGTCACTGATGAGCCAATTGAGCCGTCAAATATTGTTTGAGCATTATTTAACGAAAAACATATGCAGAAAATTATTTTCACTGCCCTCACAGATGCTTGATTATATTCTCAATGTCTCTGTGAAAATATTACTATGGATACCTCACAATTCAGACTACCAGAGGCGAAGCTGCGTCACAGAATGGCTCTGCGCCCTCGGAGGTGTCACGTGAGTATAACTGTGACAACCTTATGTATACAACTAAACCTCTTAATATGGTGATTTGA